TTGGGTATCGAAATTAAAAGAAATAGAAGAGAGGGCATACTAAGCCTAAATAAAAAATCTTATGCTTTGAAAATACTTGAAAGATTTGCAATGTCCGATGCTAAAAGTGTGAGTCTACCTTTAGCTAATCACTTCAAATTATCTAATGATCGATGTCCCAAAACTGAAGAAGAGTTTAAAAAAAAGGCTAGGGTGCCATATTCTAATGCTGTGAGGTTAGTTATGTATCTAATGATTTGTTCTAGACCTAATTTGGCATTTGCAATAAATGTATTGAGTAGATACATGTCTAGTCCTGGTGAGGTTCATTGGGAAGTGATGAAGTGGCTTCTAAGATATATTAAGGGAACTTGTGACCTAGGAATTGAGTATAGAAAACAATCTGAGGGTGTTATCTTGAGGGGTTTCACTGATTCTGATTATGCAGGTGATAGGGATAACATAAAATCGACTTTTGCCTATGTATATACTTCATGTAATTCCTGTATAAGTTGGAAATCACAATTACAAAATATTGTTGCATTATCTTCAACTGAAGCAGATATATAGCCGCTACTGATGCAATTAAAGAGGGAATTTGGCTAAAAGGACTTCTAAATGAATTTGGTTTCATAAATGATGTTGTCTTACATTCTGATAGCCAATCTGCTATATATTTGAGTAGAAATCCTGTGTTACTTAATAGATCTAAACATGTTGATGTGAAATTTCATTTTATTAGAGATGTTATTTCTCAAGGTATTGTTAAACTTGAAAAGATTTTTACCCATTTTAATCTTGCTGATGTTAGAACTAAAATACTGCCTTTAAACAAGTTTTTGAACTGTTTAAAATAGTTGAATATTAACTTTTGCTGATTTGTGTATCAGGGAATAAGATCACATGATGTCATGTTCGGAGAGATTACTATAGATGATATTGGAATCATTGTATCAAGGTGGAGAATGTAGAGAAAATGGCACAATGATGGGCTGCTCGAAGTAATTAGCTGCTGGAATAAACCTGCTAATTGGGCCAGATCTTGTAATTAATTTGGAGAGTTGCTGATTCACTTTAAACAAAAAAGGTTGCTGCTTTACTTTGCCAAAAACATACTGCCGAAAACACGTTTTTGTTATTTTAAAAGAATGCTGCCAGATTTTAACAAGTGTCAAATTACCTACCATTGGATGGAGGATTCAAGTGGGATACATATTTAATTGGCACTAGGGCTTGGCTGGACGTGAAATACACAGAATTCAGTTTTTTTCTCTCACACCTCACGAACTCTGCCTCTCTCTCTCTCTCTCTCTCTCGGTGGTCCATAATCTGAACTTTTGCACTTCAAAAATTTAGCCTATTGATGAGAAATTAATCCAACCTTGTATAGTTAATCTTGAGTGATTTAATAAGGTGTATTGGTGTTATTCTTGAGTGAATGCCATTGTCAAATGTATAGAAGCTTGTGTTGAAATAATCTTGAGTGATTGTTGTATAGGCTTCGATTCATCATTCTTGAGTGAATATTGTACGATTTATGAGGCTTAATTTTGGGAGAAATCTTGTGTGATTTCGGCTGAGTGCTATGAAGACTGTACCGAACAGATTTTGGTTCCACTGATATAGTGATTTCTTCCGTATAATGGAAGCTCAAAGGGGGATTAGGAACAAAGTTCCGAACCTCTTGTCTTAGGGCGAAAATATCGTGTTCCTTTTGTGTTTTTTGCATTTTTCTTTCATTTCAGAGTTTTTGTAGTTTATTATTTCGTTATTTTTGTTGATTGAAGTGAGCTGATTTTCTTGAACTTCTCGTAACAATTTTAATAATGACTCAGTCTCTATATTCAAGCAATTAACTTACATACGGTCAGTTATAAGTGAGCTTAAACTCATCTTACCGCTTACGAATTTTTATCGTGCCCTCAAAATTCAAACCTTTGACATTTCCTTGAGGGACACGACAGAATTCCGTGAGTGGTAAGATGGGCTCATCCTTGAATGATGCATTTGAATATAAATGATTTAAAGAAATTAGAAGGAAGTAATTGTTATAATTTTATGTAAACTAGAACGAATTTTCCCACAAGCGTTTTTTTGATGTAATAGTTAATCTAGCTATTCACCTACCTTAAGAAGCTAAACTTGGAGGCCCCATTGTATTTAAATGGATGTATCCAATTGAAAGGAAATGGCTAATAATGTAAACTAGAACGAATTTTCCCACAAGCGTTTTTACATTAATTTTGTTCATTGACTTATTATTTTCGTTGTTATAATGCATTTGTTATTTATTCATTGACTTATTATTGCATACATTAATAAAGTTATAATGCATTTGTTATTTATTCATTGACTTATTATTGCATACATTAATAAAGATAGAATTAATTAGGCAACAATTGTACGTCGTTGATTGTGGAATAGATTTAACTACAAGCACAACTTGACACGTAAATAAATGTTCATTGTCACAAAATAATTTGCGCAGTAATTTTATGTCGTAAAATAAAATATGCAATGTATATAAATAATCATGAAATATATTAGGCAACACCTATACTCATTGCACAAATGATGACGCGATAGACTTTTTGTGTTGTGAAATAAATTTAAATTTAAACACCACTTGTTAGATAAAAAATTGTACTACAAATTTTGAACATATTAAAATACATTATGCTATGTATCAAACACATTGTAAAACATATTTCACGACAAATATTATTTGTTATTAAAAATATATTACTACGAGCATGTGTTGTTGTAAAATAAAATAAATAGCAAAAGTTACACCTTTGAAAGAATATTCGCAATAAACGTTTTCTCGTAAAAACTTTATTAGACTAATCATCGCAGCAAACAATCTTGTTTATGCATCGTGATGACATTATAGCTACAAATATCATGTTGTTACTTTGTATTTTCAGCGACAAATAATTAGTGTTGTGATTTTGTACAATGAATGGTTGAAAGTTGTTGCAAAATTCATTCAGTAACTTAACATTCGCCACAAATATACTTCTAGTAAAAATTTTATTGGAATATTCGTTGTGACAAACTAACTTATCGCCCTTTAAATTATTTGCGACATATATACATGGCGATGACATTATGGCTACAGATATTGTGTGCCATTTTGTATTTTCTGCATCAAACAAATAGTGTTGCTATTTTGTTAATGCGATGAATGGCCAAAAGTCGTCGCATAACACATTTCGTGACTTATATAGAGCAACAATGCCGCAACAAACATATTGTCGTCGCTAAATTACTTTTGCAACAAAATCTCAATATTTGCGACAACAATTTTTTGTCATGAAATCGGTTATTTTTTGTAGTGACTCTTCGATTTAGCCAGTCACATAACTTGGATATTAAATGCCTTTTGGGCTCAACAATTGGCATTGGTGACTCTTAGTAAGCCTTATTATGTAGTATGATGGAATTTTAGGCAAGAACGCATCATATATCATCATGTTGCCTTGCATTTTGCAATTAAATTGGATTGAGAGCATAAAAAACCAAAAATGGAAGTTTTTATTTGTCAAAATTGACAAAATACAGTACGAGAATCCGAAGCTAAGTACGAGGAGGTAGAGCGAAACTTTCATGAGGTTGGAGGAGGATCGACGACTTGAGCTGAAAGTGGAGCGAGATATATCTTGACGGTCGATGTTCTCCTGGGCAAAGGAGTATGCAAAACCCTCCCTAAAAGGACTCAACAGGGCTTAATATCATTGCTCAAAGCAAAAAATAATTTTTAATATTAAAAGAATAATTTTTAAATAATAAATTGATTAATAAAATTAAAACTAAAAATGCTAATTTTATGAGTTCTAATTTGATTAACCTCGATTTTCTTACTCAACTTTGAAAATTAACTTTTGACGAATCAAAAATTTGCTTAGATATAATAGAAGTAGTGGTGTAATTTTGTAAGAAGGGATGGATGATTGATCCCCAGAAGGAAAATTCTACTTGTACATCATGATTGCACATGATGGTGTCCATAATCTGATGTGACAATCATCCGATTGTTGATATGCGAGTGTGAAATTTAAATTAAAGGTTGAATCCAGTGACACGTGTAATTATGGATACTATTATGTAAACAATTATGTACATGTAGCACTTCCCTCCTCAGAAAGAGCTCCTCATATAACTTCTCAATTTAGAGTCCAAGAAAATACATAAAGGTGCGTTTGATTGTCAATATTTTTCATAGAAAATATATTTTTTCACTCAAATTTCTATTTTTGTGCTGTTTGATTGTCATTTTTTCCATGGAAAATATTTTTCTACTTTTGGTCACGTGATCATATTTTCCTCATCATATTTTCCTCAAAATCAAGGAAAATATTTTTCTGTAGGGAGAGTGAGATTTTATTTTTCAGGAAATCACTCTCTCATCTATTCACTCTTTCTTATCTACCCACTAATAAAAAAGGAACAAGTATAATATTTTTTAGGTTGAAAATTAAATCAATCAAACACGTTTAATTGATAATTTTCACGCAAAAAAATTCTAGACAATTGAATTACCTAGAATTTATGTTCTTTCAATGCAATTTCTTGATTGCAATCAAACGCACCCTAATTGTCGCGTGCAATGGGACTCTCATTGTGCCATCGTGCACACATACTGATAACGTTGCAGCATGAAATAAGAAATTCAAGTGAAAACCTTAAGAACATAAATCTGGAATCCACCAGAAAATGAAAGATAAAATCAAGAAGTTTTATTAATTCCAAAATACCTAAAAACAAAGTATTAACCCTTTATTTATTAGATTAGAGTTTAAATGAAAACCTAACCTAAAGGAACTAAAATTGTAAAGAATTCGAAATTTATTAGAGTTTAAATGAAAACCTAACCTAAAGGAACTAAAATTGTAAAGAATTCAAAATAAACTAAATAACAAAAAAAGCACTAAAATTCAAAGGGCACTTTTCGGATCATAAACAAACTCGGATGGCTAAAATCCATCATACATCATTGCAAAACCGTGGGTTTGGCCTGTCTCATCGTTCCCTTTCTGAAAAGGTATTATGGGACCAATTCTAACCTAAAATGCCAAATCTACAATTTAATTGTTTTTCCCTTTTTGGTCCAACCGTATCTCAATCCGCTCGGCCATCTTTTCTACATCAGATTGGCCAATTTCCAAAGCTGAAACTGTAGTATAAATTCACAAGTAAACAAACGAGAAAATTCACAAACAGATATATTATTATTAAGCATGGGAACGTTCCGCCAAGAACCCTTTGATCCTTCCATCCAAGACCTAAAGATCACACTCCAAGACTCAACCCTACTTTTTCCATCCCATCGAACTGAAAACAAATCCATTTTCTTGTCCAACATAGATCAAATTCTCAATTTTAATGTCCAAACAATTCATTTCTTCACAGCTAACCCAGATTTCGCGCCAGAAGTTGTGGCCTGCAGGCTCAAAACTGCACTTGAAAAACTGTTAGTGCCGTATGATTTCATGGCGGGAAGGCTGAAACTGAACCCCGAATCGCGCCGGCTCGAGGTGGAGTGCAATTCTGCTGGAGTAGGTTTCGTGGTGGCTTCCACTCAGTTTTCACTCGATGAGATTGGGGACTTGGTTTATCCCAATCCAGCCTTTAGGGGGCTTATTGTTCAAAGCTTGGATAACTTGGAAGTAGATAATCAACCACTTTGCATTTTTCAGGTACTGACTCTACATTTTCATTGCCCTCTTAATTTTCATGCAGAGAATAGCATTTCAAGTTTGCGAAAATTAAGGTTAGACAAATATATAGCATATTTTAGTACATGTAACAATATATACTTTTTATTTAAAATTAATTAATCTTCAACATGAACCTCACTTTCATACAGAACTTAATTATATTTTCCCGTCAAAGAGCATGTATATATTTTAATAAATGGGTTATGGTAAAATTTGAAATTCAGTTATTTCTTATGTTCTTATAACATGTTGAATCATGTTACATAAAAGTTTAATCACATAGAGATCGTAAATATTTATTTATTTATTTAAATTTAGTATCAAATTTATGAATCGAAAAAAAAAATTGAATATATATATATTTTTTCAATTTGAATACAAGTATGTGCACGTAAACATGCATAAATCATTGCTCTGTGAATCCGTGGATGAAAACAAAAGCTTAATGCAGGATGCATTATTTAGCCGTCAAAGGAGACAAATTAACTTTATTAAAGTATGTAATTCTCGTAACTTTCACGTGTAACAGATCATATTTAATTTTATTTTTTTCATTAAATTTCTAATACCCTACATAAATTTTAAAAAAATAAGTTAAAGTGAAACATAAAAGGTTAGCGATAAGAAATGTTTATTTATTTAAATTAGTATCGACTTATGAATAATTTGTATTTATTTTAATATGCTTTTCAAATTGAATACATGCAAGCATGACTGTGTGCGAAAGGAAAATCATAGTGCTAGATGCATTCTTTGACCATTAAAAACGAGACAAACTAATTTATTTTATTTATGTTTTCAATACATTTTCAACTATCAAAAGTTGTATATTACTTTTATTATCAAAACACGTGTGCAATATGACTCTGAAATCATATTAAACTACTTCATTTAAAAATCTAAAATTTTAGAAGCTAAATATATTTAATTATTTAATCTATTTTCAATATGCCCATTTAGTGGAGCTCAAGTAAATTTTTTTATCAAAAGCATAACACGTATATTGTTCTCTTTAAATGAGTGACGGAAAGAAAATAATACGATCAGGTTCATCACCAATGGACTATTAATTTAAATACCAAATCACCGGATACTCTGTATCTTGCTGTCTTATAGTAATGGTTGTATAATGCAACTACTTTGGGGACACCCTATCAGATGAGAAAGAAACTAGTTAGTTAGGGCAAGAAACCTATGTTTTTGAGATATGGGCGAAGAAAGTAGGTTAGTGTCTTAAATAAAAGGTAAAAGTAGTTCAACAACATAGACAGCTCGTTAATTAATTGCATATCTCAAATACTACCAATTAATTTGGATTGTATGATTAACTACGAATCAAAATTGATTTAGAAGGGGAAAATGAAACGAAAATAGAGCCTTATATGTGTAGTCGATTATTAACCTCGTGGTTTCATCTTAAACGTTTTTAATCCTCTTGCATGAGGAGCTGAGTCGGAAAAGGGGTCGCGAGTATTCTTCTTTATGTAAAGGTTTAATTAAAAAAAAAAAAACTGAAAGTATTGAAGAGAAGGGACATAAATCCGACCTCCAATAAATGAATACAAATAAAAAGAACAACATGCAAATCAAACAACCTCTAGACTGGCTTCTAACAATTAATCATTCTATGATTAGGTTAATTTCCCTCACAAAAAATGTTGATAATTAACATATGATTTTTGTTGCAATGGATTTTTAGGTGACATCATTTAACTGTGGTGGTTTTGCAATGGGCATATCTACCAATCATGTCTTGTTTGATGGGATAAGCTTCAAAAATTTCTTAGAAAACCTTGCTTCCCAAGCTTTTGATGACAAACCCATGGCTATCGTCCCATTCAACGATCGTCGCCTCCTCGCCGCCAGATCTCCGCCCCGCATCACTTTCCCCCACCCCGAAATGCTCAAGCTCGAGATTCCAATCAGTGAAGACTTAAGCCCTCCAGTGTTTGATTGCCAAAAGGAGCAGCTTGATTTCCAAATTTTTAACCTAAACTCTGATAACATAAGTTACTTGAAGGAGAAGGCAAAGATCAGTGGTCCCAATGAAAACACAAAAATCACCAGTTTCAACGTAGTCACAGCCTTTATCTGGCGGTGCAAGGCCTTGTCATCTGGTAATAATAGTCAAAGGTTATCTACTATGCTTTTTGCAGTTGATATTAGGTCAAGACTGAAGCCACCATTGCCATTTTCCTATTGCGGGAACGCGGTACTAAGTGCTTACGCGTCGTCAATCTGCTCGAAACTCGAGAATGAGCCTTTCTCGAGGATCGTGGACATGGTATCTGAGGGGGCTGGCCAAATGACGGATGAATATACAAGATCTATAATAGACTGGGGAGAGATCTACAAAGGGTTTCCAAATGGTGAGTTTATGATATCTTCTTGGTGGAAATTAGGGCTTTCTGAAGTGAAGTATCCATGGGGAAAGCCAAGGTACAGCTCTCCAGTGGTGTACACCAGAAAAAACATCATTTTATTGTTTCCTGACACTAATAATAGATCAAACAACAAAAATGGGAATGGAGTTAATATCTTAGTTGCATTGCCTCCCAAGGAGATGGAGAAATTCCAAACCCTCTTTCACAAGTTCTTGGCATCGGACTAATAAATTAATTAATAAATATAATCTACAAATTAATCCGTTTGGAATGTTTGTGCTACTATGGATGCATATATGATTACAAATTGTTGTATGTGTAAGTAGCATTTTATAAGCCATTTGACTTAATAATTTGGAGTGATAATGTGATGGTGTGGTGTATGAATGCTTTGATTCATGAATTAGAAGCAAATGCATTATGCTGTATGCTAGAATGTATATCTAATTAAAATTATGCGTTAGCATATGGTTTGTTGATTTTTCGCTTTGCTCTTCTAAGCAGATCTTTTGCATTACTATATTTTAATTTCTTCTTCGCTTACGGTGCACCATTTAAAAATGAATAATCCTATCAAACAACATGGTGCTAGAACATCAATGTAGGTGGCTATACTTAGTACAATTAAATGAGTTATATGACTGTACATTTAAATGAATCTATCATTTAATTTCATATAATTTTTACCTTGACGAGTGCATGATACCAGTGGTGAATGAATAGCATTACTCTTTAAAAATATGGTTATGCATTTATTTGGTGAATTTCTGCTAAAAATAGCCAAAATAAATCAAAGTTCCAATCAAAAAAGTTACACAACATCGACCAAAACTTGTATAAAGCTAGATATGACAGCAACATTATTTCACGCAGTATAGAAGTTTTCAACAACACTACTCAATTTCCTTCTCAATAAGCAGAACCATGACCAGTGAAACCGCAAAGAGATCAAGAAATTCGTTCAAGAAGAATGAAGCGAAGATCACGAGAGATTTCACAAAGAAAACTCAAAAGGAGCAGTCAAGATAACATTTTCAAAGAGAGAGCACGATTGACATGACTCGTCTCGAATCACCTTAATGGATTCGACACGTGTCGTGTGTCAATGGTAGATATCAGCTAAGTGGTAGACCCACCACCAAGGCAACCTTGACTTGCCTGACTATGAGAAAATTTTAAAGAATTTGGACAAAGTCTCCTCTAAAATATGGACTAAAACTACTTGATCCATAATCAATTTACTCAAATCAATACATATAATATAAAATAAGTACACCAGTGCTTCAAAATCCAAAATATTCAAAATAAAATACTGACATTTTGATATTTACTTGCTTAACTACCAACAATCCTCAAATATACTAAATATAACATATAGTGATCTCATGACAACCTTTTTCTAACATAAACTACATGTAACCCAAGAAACAGGTACTACCTAATCTGATAAAGTAAACCATACAACTAATGACGTTTTGCTCAATTCAGTGGATCGACAGGCTCCAATACTGCTCAACTCGACTGCTATCTAATAAGGAAAAAGGGTAAATAAAGTATGAGCTTGTAACTCAGTGAATGGATAGATTGAAAATAAGTATACTTTTCCATTTATGCATATTTCCTGAAAATTCTAACTCTACTAAATCTTTGAGAAATGCTTAAATCTACTTTTAAACTAAGCATGATTGTATTTTAAAATTCTTTGTTCTTAATTCTAGACAATTAACTGCAAAGTATAACGAATATAAAGAATCTGATATCCATGAAAATCTATGGAATATTGTTGTTGCTCAATATTATAAGCTGGAAGCTTTATTCTTAGAACTGAATAAACTAAATTCTATAATCTGAAATCCATAAGCTAAACTGTAAACGAGGAAATGTAAGTTGTAGGCTAATAATCCCCTATATACTTAAAACTCACATCAAATATACCCCATGTAAAGCATCAACTAATGATCTGAAAGCTATAAAGTCATATGCACATAAATCGTCTGATCAACACTCTGTACATGGTCGTAGCCCCTCAGTGTACAAGTGTGAAACAACATAATCATCCTTATACACGACTTTAGCCCCTCAATGTATAATAGGTACCCTTACACACGGTCGTAGCCCCTCAATGGATAAGAGTTACTTTTACACACGGCTGTAGGCCCTCAGTATATAGGAGTTAGATACATGACTCTAGTACACAGTTGTAGCCCCTCAGTGTACAAGATTAAGGTAATTACATCAATTATTTTCTAATAATTTCAAAACAATCATGCTTATTTCCTAATTCTCGAAAATAAGACATTTCATGTAATTAATATGCTTCTATAACATAAAAAGAAAATCTCCTTTTTGGAAAAGTAGATTCTCCACTCATGGATCTATGGATAGCAATCTGGTCAAATTGACCAGCATTATCAAGCTTTCACGTCATCACCTAAAATATGATGTGAAATAACTAATTTAACAACTCCCATGCTAAGTATCTCTTAACATTTAATTATGAAATATTAGAACTTGACTTCTCGGCACTTGAATATATTCTTTAGTTTCCTTCATATTTGAAACAAATTCAACCTTCTAGCCTTTCACTAATCTTTAAATTATCATAATTACCTACATCTTAAACATAAAAATAATTCTTTATTCTAATCTAGTGAAACTTGAATTCCCACTTGCACCAATCTAATTTACATTTTATTCCATAGATCCATTCTTTCAAGTTAATACATCATCACCATAATCATGTTCACAATTAATCCTTACTCAAGTATCCAATTTAAAATCTAGGGTTTGCCAAAAATTGGTATTCTTACCTTAATGAAATTGGAGATTAAAGAATCAACAAGCTTGAGCTCCAATTTTTACTCTTAGCCTCTTAAATCTTAAATTTGTACCACAAGTTAAAACCCTAAAAGTTTAACATAAAATCATTCCTTTATCTCTTGAAGAAAATAGAGAGAAAAGGGAATGGAAACAAGCTTAAACTACCTATTTTCCTTCCTTTCTCTCCTCCTCTTTTTCCTTTTTCTTCTTCTTTTTCTTCCTTTCTCTTTTCTTTTGTTTGTTCTTTTCCTCCTCTACCGTTTCCAGCCTCTCTACCCGGTTTGGTATGAAAAATATCTATAAAGTAAGTAATGGCAATTGGGTTTAAATGGTCAAATTAGTGAGGTTTTGCGAGGTAAGTCCCTCATCTTCCATATAATATAACATTTAGTCATACTAAATTTCATATAATAAAATATTAAATCCTTAACTTCCAAATTTAGAAAAATAAATCCAAACTTAAAATTTTATTCATCTTAAACCCTCAAAATATTTTTTTATCATAAAATAACCCTAATAAAATACTTTCTTACATTTTAGTCCCTATTTGACTTTGACTTTGACAATTCAACCATTGATTTTTGACCTAAAAGAATTCGATTGTAACAACGATAGAGTAAATCAATGTTTAGCTAGGGTGGGTTTCCTCTTATTAATACGAGGAACCCAACCATTGACCAAAAGATGATCCAACGGTCAAGATTCACCCATCTAGCTATTTGAGACTCTCTAAAACGTGTTAACACCTCTAAAATGATAATTCTTCACTTTGATCGGGTCAACGAACCAATATATTGTGGAATAGTTCTTCAATTATAGGTCAAAGCCCTTGTAGTCGACTAAATCACAGCATTGCCCATTAAAGTTTATCTGGCAACAAACTTAACACATATTCATCTTAATGCCAAGAAACCTTTGTACTGGAAAACTAAATTCCATCGTGTCCCGTCTTTGGCATCTTGCTCTTACCTAGAAATAAAGAGTAAATTTAGATATACAGTATATTGACTATGAGAATGTACAGCCACATCACTATCCAAAACACATATTTTGGAAAACCTTTAAGCTACAAAGACTTCTTAATTTCTTTTGTGGCAGTAATGTACTCATACTCAATAGTGGATAGTGCAATTATGTAGTGTAACTGAAACTTCCAATTTATACAAGAATTATGTAAAGTAAACACGTAAGAGAAAGTAGACTTTTTGTTTTTCCTATCTCTTGCATAATCACATCCACACACCCTCTCAATCTCACACCTTTATACTACTTGTAAACATTAGAAATGTATCACGACCCCTCAAATATCTAAACACCATTTTAAGGCTTTCCAATGGTCAAACCTGAATTAAACATAAACCTGCTAACCATACTCATAAAAATAAGCTGTGTTAACCTCAATAATAGAGAATATTGAATTTGAACAAGAAATTGCAAGTGTTATACCCTAGGTCCAATCGACTTTAGATATAAACACTTTTAATATATAGTTGATGTGATTTATAGCAGATCTATTATTTAATTAATTAATATTCAGTTGAATTAAATAATGGAATCCGTAGGTTCAAATCTTAGTAATTTGTTAATTACAAGAAGTTGTGATTATGAGATACAAATTACATATGATTGAATCTTAAATCATCCGTAGTCGTAAGTAATGACAAGATACAGATATCGTTATTACGAATTGACCATCACGTGTGACATTTCTTACTGGTGAAGTAAGTAGCTAATTTCACAGGCTAAAGTGTGATGACACTTGAATGAACACGTGGATGTTTTGTTATAGAAAAAACATTGGATACTCATCGAGAGATTTCACATGGATAACTATCCGAGTGTTAGTGGTTAAACTCTAACGTTAGGTAGTGGAATTGGTCATTTGACTTGAAGTCATCATGATGCTTTATACGAAGACAGTCATGCTTTGACGGTGTTGGATGTTGCTATATCAAGGGCCGCTAATACGATATCGTTCGGATATGTCAAGAATCATATGAAGGTTATAAATGACCAATAGAAGATTTGTTACTCTTAGATAGTAAGAGATTATAATTCACACTTCACTCAGTTAAGTCGATAATGAAATCATTGACTAAGGTATACTCATAAGTTGAAGAGGAATTTTCGATTTATATTGACTTAATAGTGGAATGAAAGATATGATCGATAATTGAGATTGACACTTATCTATATCTTGTAATTGATCGGATCATATTGACGAAAAGATTATAATTTCACGGTAAACGAACAAGTTTGATTTTTTCATACCACATGACATTTTTCGTCACATGTATTAACCTGACGTATTGTTAGATGTCAATCTAGGACGATGAACGTAAATAGGTGATAAATTAAAGGGTATTTAAATTTATCGATTTTGATTAGATCAAAATAATAATTCACGTCGCTAGGCATCGTAATTAGGAACCTGATGAGTCACGCACAAAAGGAGAACTGGAAAATTATGTTTTACCAATTAGTTAATATAACAAGCGTTGGATAAATTAATTAATTGGATTACTTATTAATTGGCCTGAATTAATTAGTTGAATTGATTAATTTATCGACCCGATTTAATTAAATGAGTTAATGAAATCTTGGACCGGTTAAAAGATGGGCCAAGCCCGTTTGGGTTTGTATAAATAGGTAGTTAGGGTTTTGGATCTGTAGAGAAAATTTATAATTCTTGTTAGCACAAGAGGAGAAAACCCTGGTTCATACAATCTTGTTCTCTATGTCGAATTCCTTTGGAGGTTAGACAATTGGACAACTGTGAGTGGCAAATCAAGGTTGCTGGAATAAAAGAAAAGCAAAAGAGTTTACAAATCTAGAAAATGTATGACTTCTATCACAATTTTTACCTAAACACAAAGCAGATCCTTGGTGAGAATTGAAATCTATTTTATTATCTGCTGAACATGATTAGGTAGATTCCCTACAGTGGCATCAGACTACTTTGAATTTGTTAAAAATTGTTTTGAGTATTTGGGAACAATCAAAAGTTGATTTTCAATTTTTTGAAATATGATTTTGGAAAACACACACACACACACACACATATATATATATATATAATCGCGTCGGAGCTAGCCTCGCGTGACAACGGAGCTCACCGTTCTCAACGGTAGACTGCAGCAACGTGCGACACTGCTGTGCTTGTAGCGCACCACTGCTGTTTTGACTTCGACGGTGCACGTCGAAGTCCTCGGGGCGAAGTTGTGATGGGCCGACTGTGGCACCGCAAGGAAGAAGAGAAAAGGGTGAACTTCTAGAGTTTTTTGTAGAGGCAAATGGTGACGGGGGCTTCTTGTGAAATTTCGAAAGTTGGGAGCCCTTGCCTGCAAATTTCTTTCAGGGTCCTTCCTGTAATTATGGAAAGGGTTGTTGCAAATTTTAAATGAAGGGCCTGTCATGAGAATTTTAAAATTGTGCGGCCTTGTGTGTAATTTTAGAATGGGTCAAAATTGCAAGTTTTCAAAAGGTGTTTTGAAAGAGAATACGAAAGGTTTTTAAATTTTAATTTCAAATGGGTTTGACCTAAAATTTTAATTTTGACTCGTTTAAAATTATATTTAAAATTGATGACGTTTATGTTTTCGTTAAAATTAGATTTTAACTTAAATATTAAATTTGGCCCTAAAATGATTTTTATTTTGTTTAGGAGTTTTATCCTAAATTAAAAGTTTAATTCAATTTAAATTAGAGTTGAACTCTAAATTAATATTTAATTAAATTTTGATTTTAATTAAATAATTCACCCAAACATTTCTTGAATTTAGAATTTGATTCTAATTTGACATTTAATTAAAATTTGATTTTGATTAAATTGTCTCACCCTAAAATTTCCTTGAAATTGGAGTTGGACTCCAATTTGGTATTTAATTAAAATTTAATTTCAATTAAATTAGTTCGCCCTAAAATCTTGGAATTAGAGTTGGACTCTAATTTTGCTATTTAATTAAAATTTGATTTTGATTAAATTTCGCCTCCTTAAATTTTGAAATTAGATTAAAACTTAATTTTAATTAAATAGTCCCGCCCTATAATTGTAGAATTAGAGATAGACTCTAATTTGGTGTGTATATATATAAATAAAATTTTATTTTAATTAAATATACCCGCTAATTAAAGTAATTGATTAATATGATTAATCAATTATTTAATTGTTCCAATCCATTTGTCTAAAATAGTTTAAATGACCTTAATTGTTAGAAACTTGAAACATAATTGCATATAATGTTAGATATTATATAGAAATACATTTATGTAGTGAATGTATTATTTGTGGATGATTATGGACTCAACCATGTGGATGTGTGGAATGATTAATTTTATTCTTATCGTTTTATGGGTCTGCGAACTCTTAATTGTTTTGGATCTACGAGTTCGTTACTATTGTTATTATTTTGGGCCTGCGAGCTATTAATCATTTTGGACATACGACTCTGTTATTGTTATTTTTACTATGGGCCTGCAAGTCCAATTTCATTTAGGCATGTGTCCAACTAGTATAGGATACAAGTTGCAGCTAAACTTATTGAGGACACAAGAAGAGGAGGAGACCATGGAGATGGAGCATTGTATGATCAATGCAATACCGCCTCGAAATTGACAAACTAGTCTTCCTTATGGTTCGGAAAGACTAGATAGTAAAAGTCCATAATTGTCTATACTATTACATTATATTATATATATATGTTTACTTTCATGATTGATGAATAATAAAATATATATGATTGTTACGATGAGACCTTTGAATGCAAAACCCCGCAATAAAATATTAAGTTTCATTTATCATCATCTTCCATCATTATAGTGAAAAACAAAAGTCCCAAATCATCTCAGCTTGTTGAGTACACTCAAGGCTAGTCTATTAGGGATATGTTTAACACTGTGAAATATTAGATATTTTTGAATGTTGGATTTGACTTAACTAAAATTTATCTTTTGCTGAGCACACTCAAGGAGATAAATTTTAAAGGCATGTTAAGCTAGCACATAAGACGTGTGAAGACAAGGAATTGTCAGTTTAATGATCTGAGAGTTGTATGGAGATACGATTGATAATAGTATCTACCCATATATTTTCTTAAGGCTTATTGAATACATTCAAGGTCTTAATATAACAACTGGGATCCCGGCTCACTGGAATTCAAGTATGGATTTCATAAATTTATATGAGAGGGTCATAAATT